CCCCCCCCCCCATCACGAGGAGAAGCAACAAAATAAAATAATTTTCTCGCTAAGATTTTTAGTTTTCTTTTCCTTTCTTTAGCATTTTTCTTTCTTTGGTAATTCCCCCAATGAAATACAGTGTAAAGAGTAATGTTAGAGTATAATGGTGTCGCCACGTTTGTGTGTGTGGGTGTGGTGGTGCTCTCAAATGGAGAGTACTGTGTGGCCAAACAACTTTTCTTTACTCCTTCCCCAAATAAACCATAGTCCAATATCTAAGAAAATATAATGGCATGGCTTTATAATCACATCCCTAATTGTCAATTGACATGATATTGAGAAAACTGTGTCTACATGTTTAGTGAAGAGGGGTTGGCTAAAGAAGCGCCGTGCTGCTTGATGATCCGGGCTGCTTGCAGAAGCAATTCCTGCTCTGTCGAAAACTTCTTCTCTTTGCTCTAATGAATGAACGCCCACATTCAAACCACAAATCACATTTAAGAAAAAAGAAGCGGATCAGCTCTTAGTTTTTACCTACCATTTGTTTTAGGTTGCAGCCGAGAGTGAGTTCTGCGTATCCTCTTTCCAGATTGGACAAGAAACAATAGGGCGCCTCCTTTTCCAAGAACACATTCGCATTGGATTTCAGCATGTTCTTTATATCCTCTGATATTTGTGGGATCTTCTCCAAGTCATCAATTTGCATTGGAACTTTGGTCACCATCGCCCTCCATTGAGCTCGTGATTTGTTCACAATAACCTATGTATATAACTCCAACACCCCCCACAATCACCAAAACAACCTATGCCAATTTTTTGCAGTTTTTTTTATTGTAACAGTAATAATTCATGGTACCTGGCTAGTAAACAGGGAGTTCGGAACAATAACTGGGAACTTCTCTGCAGTCAACAGAGACGTTGCTGTCAGCCCCATTTCTATAACTTGGCCTTCAACAGATCCCGCCTGCTCGCGCAATTAATTACTCATTTTTAGAAGAGGATAAGTTATAACTCCATATGAAATCATAAAATAAGTCAATCAATATCTTCTTTCATTTTGATCACTATTATATTTACCCAAACACTTGACTCCTAAACTTCAAGGAACTGCTAGCCACTCTGCATATTCCATATGGACCTTAGTAGGCCTATCCTCTCATTTTACGGTGTGATTTTCAAATGCAGCTCCAATTCAACATTTTTCAACACTAACTATATTTCACTTGACCCTCTAGCAGCAACATCTTAAGTCTCAACTCCTAAGACTGTACTCCCAAGAGAGATGTACCTCATATTGTGGATTATGATTGGGCTGGGTTGGTAACATATGGCCTTCATAAATTGGTCGCATTGGAACTACCGAATACCCTGAATCACTTTCTCAAAAGTATTCAACAAATTTGCATTTACAGATAAGGGATATATAAGCCTATTGTAATATTCAATCATCAAAAGACACTAGCATTTCATGCAATGTCATGCATCTTTGGTAAAGTTTACTACGAGATCATAAGAGGTGAAGAATACAATTGAAAAGCCATTACGCATCTCCTGAGCAAAAAAAAGTACCAAATAAGAAATGAAAATACTATTACTGTGACTGATTAAAAAAAGTTTAGAGAGTTATCAGCATTTAAGGGGGCAAATATGTGGCATACTTTTATCAAATCTCCAATAGAAAAAGGCCTTGAAAACTGTAACGAAAGCCCACTTAAAACATTTCCAATGACATCTCGAGCAGCAAAGGCAGTAGCAACTCCTGCATACCAATTACCAAGTTAATGTCATACAAGGCTTTACAATGTTATATTGATGAAATGAAAGCTTCTCACCTCCTACACCTCCCACAGTGAGAATGGATTGCACTGGCACCCCACATGCCTCAGCTAATCCCATCAATCCAATAGCAAATAAACCAACAGAAGATACTTTCTCCAGTGTCAACAACCTGTCTCGATCACCCGCTTCAAAGGTCTTTACGGCTAAGGTTCTGCTAAACACATTCGTCTTCCATCTTTGTAGAAACCAAACAGAAGAAAGAATAGTGGCACTCCTCCAAGCTGGCAGAATGTACTGTGATGCAACGCTGGTTGGTGCCACCATAGCACCACTGCATGAACAGATTCGAAATAACTAATCACACGTTTGGCACAAATAAACGACGGTGACTTAAACTGGGGAAGAATAATATCATGGGCATATAGAGATTTTACTAACATTTGGGTAAAGGCCATAAAAGTGATGAGATACCGAACAGGGTCTTCCAGAGCACTCCAGATGCTTTTTTCATAAGGTACGGGCTTCAATATTGAGTTCTCAGATAACAAAGCAGCAGGCCCTTCTGTTGACATCTTGTGAAACCTCCTCAGAAACCTTGGCATCACTAACCAAGCCAGTAAAGTACACACCAAAGTACCACTAACGGGAGCAACAACATCTCTCAAGTATGGATTGGCATCAAGAATTTGCTGGATGTGAGGTGTTATGTCACTGGAAGCGTCTCTGAGTTTCTCTCCTGTGGAACTCACAGCATTCCCGAGACTTTGGATGGCTTCTTTTGCCTTCATACCCCACTCACCCATATCAGATCCACCAGTACCAGCCATATTAGATCCACTGAGTCCAGAAATGACAGAACCTGAGTCTCCAGGAGTACCCCCTTCACCACCTACAGATGATGAATACAACCGGCTGCTCCATATAGGGCTACTACTCCAGAGCAAAGACACGCCTCTTAAAGGATAACTGCTCAATGACCCACTCACATATGAGCTAAAACCTACTACCCCAAAACCTATAGCAGCATGATTCCGGGTGGTACTACATGACTCGCTCGCATGGCAATAATTACGACTCAGACAAGCAGGTGATGAGGATCTGATCCCAACAGCATTCGCAAAATTTAAAGATGGGTTGAGTGATCTTGTCAATCTGGAAAACTTAATTGCAGCCATTACAATTGGGCATGAAGCATATGTATAATCAGCCCGATAGAAGACGAATACAAACCCAGCAAGCTTGTTCGACACAACACAAACAAGGAACTTAAAGAATAATTCTTGCCTTCCTGCAAGGAATTCCACACAAGATGCCTTATAAGCATTACAAAACCAGAAAACTAAAGAATCAAATTAACCCTAAAAAATTATGCATCTTATTGAGCGATGGAGATGAGCAGTCCGCACAAGCAAGCAGAGTAGGAAAACAGAAATTTCGAAGTAAATTTTGCATACACGATGGAAAAACGAAAACAATACAGTTCGCGCGCGGTAGATAGGTAGGAGCCATTGGAGCGCAGAATATCAGCAAAAACCCATTTCAGTTCGAGGAAGAGAGGGGCAATGAATATAGGGTAGGGTGACTTGAAGAGAAATTAAGCTACACTCTCTTCGTGTGTTTCCTCTTGAAGAAGAAAAAGTTTTGGATTAATATCATTAAGACACGGATTAAATAAAATAATCATGTCACAACTAGATTGTAGATTTTTTGATGTAGCATTTTAATATGTCCTTCCTCCGTCCCTAAATATTCACCACATTTGTTTTTAAAGCAGTCGCGGGAACTTTTGTTTATTTCGACGTTTTCATTGGTTATTTGATAAAATAAAATATTCTTGACACCTCTTATTTCGAAGAACTTTTTATGTAATTTTTTTATATGTAAATATTATTTTTTTTTCTATACCAATATGTAAATAAAATGAATCGAAAAAACTTGATATTTTGGCTTGGAAATACAAATGTGGCAAATAATTTGGGACGGAGGGAGTAATTTTTATTTTGAAATTCTACACCATTTTTTATATAAAATGATTTGAAAAAAATTTCAGCCAAACATCATAAACCGAAACATGCAATATAAGTTAGGATGGAAGGAGTATATATTTAAGAATTTTATCAAAAGATTTATAAAATTAGATATGACATGATAATATTATTTAATCAAAATTATTTTACCAAATGATAACGAAGATAGGCATACAAAGTAAATAAAATTGACACTGTGAATTATAAATGGTGGACGGAAGGAGTACAATGCTAATAGGATAATTTCAAAGTTTACTTCTAATTGCAATGATAAAGAATATATTTATAAAGAATGAGAGATTCTTACACGTACTAGGTTAGAGTTCATATCCAACGAGTTATGGGCAAATAGTTTCAATGTCTCTTTGTCTTTAAAAATATTCATGATTTCAAAATGTTACACGTATCTCCTCCCGTGATTTACATTTCAGACATTCAGAGTGCAACTGAAGTTTGATGAAGATGGGACATTAGTGCCCATTTTTGAAAGCACAAGGGGTACCCGAAGCCATTCGTCCATTTTCCAATCAATGAAGGTACATAATTTTTTTGAAGGAAAAAGTGATGAAAACAATCTAAACTATTACCGGTTGGCTCAAAATAATTCTAGTTATTTCAAAATGACCTCAATTATTGCACTATTTTTTTAAAAAAAAAATAAACTCATAACTTGTTATGGCATGTGAGAAAAAACGTAGGCACTAGTTTCCATTATTTAACATTTCTGTACTAATAAATTGTTTCTTTTTAAGTTTAGAATGTATATATGGTAAACAATTAGAAAATTAAATTTGATGGTGATCCTGTGTGTTGTGATATTGCTTGCTTTATCTTGAGCCATATTTCCTCTGCTATGCTTTGCTCGAAAATTAAGTTTAGAGTAGAAAAAAGAAGAAATGACAAGAGTTTTGATGTTTGGGTATCAAGGAAAAGAAGGAAAATTGGGAGGAAAATAAAAAGTAAAAAAAAAAATCAATTAGAAAAATGTAATTTTCCTTGCATTTCTGAGATGGAGAAAAAAGAGATGCAACAAACTTCTCCAAGGCAGAACAGCAAAAAGTAAAAACTAATATATCATAGCTAAGGCAGTGGTCACATTCCTCACTCCTAAGGCAAGGCAACAACAGAAGTTGGAGAGGCGCCGTATCGGTTGATGATCCGGGCAGCTTGCAGAACCAATTCTTGCTCCGTCCAAGCCCTCTCCTCCGTGCTCTGGGGATCCATCGATCCAGTGAATCATATATTGCCAATGCCAGCCCCCCACCCCACATTCAAACCACAAATCAGTACATTATAATTAACAGTCGAAAAGAACAAGTCACACTTTTATATTTCATTACTGCTTAGGATGATGATGAATAAATACTAAGCAGTTTATAAGTAGTTTTTACATACCATTTGTTTCAGATTGCAGCCGAGAGTGAGCTCTGCGTATCTTGTTTCCAGATTTGACAAGAAACAGTAGGGTGCCTCCCTTTCCAAGAACACCTTCTCATTGCATCTCATCATGTACGTTATATCTTGTGATATACGCGGGATCTTCTCCAAGTCATCAATTTTCATTGGAACTTTGGTCACCATCGCCAGCCATTGAGCCCGCGATTTGTTCACAATAACCTATATATATATATATATATATATATATATATATATATATATATATATATATATAAAACCCCTTCCATAATCACTAAAACATGCAACCTCTGCCAATATATATATATATGTATTTTTGTTTCTTTTCATAAACAATAACAAGTCATGGTACCTGGCTAGTGAACAAGGAATTCGGGACAGTTACAGGGAGCATCTCTTCGCTCAACAGAGACGTTGTTGTCATCCCCATTTCTATGACTTGGCCTTCAACATATCCAGCCTGTTTTGTGACAAGAAGAAGAAGAAGAAGATGAGTTATAGCTCCAGATGAAATCATAGAACCAATCAATCGGTAGCTTCTTTCCTTTTGATCACTATTATATTTACCTACGCAGACACTAAACTCCTAAAACTTCTAGCTAGGAGTGATAAATTATTTAAACGATGGATACCCTGAATCACTTTCTCAAAACAATTCAACAAATTTGCATTTAAATATTACAAATTTGTAACATTCAATCATCACAGGACTCTAGCATTTCATGTAATGTCATCCATGTTTGGTAAAGTTCACTACAAGATCATATGAGGCCAAAAATGGATTCGAAAAGCCATTGCGCATTTCCTGAGAGAGAGAAAAAAAGCACCAAATGGTGATTATAAGAAGTTTAGAGGGTTATCAGCATTTAAAGGGGCGCGAATTTGTAGCATACTCGTATCATTTCTCCAACAGAAAAAGGCTTTGAAAACTGTAACGAAAGCCCACTTAGAACATTTCCAATGACGTCTCGAGCAGCAATAGCAATAGCAACTCCTGCATACCAATTACAAAATCAATGCCAGAAAAGATTTCACACTGTTATATCAATGAAAACTGAAAAGGAAGTTTTTCCAAAAGGAATCAATTATGAAATGAAGCTGCTCACCTCCTATGCCCCCCACTGTGAGAATTGATTGCACAGGCACCCCACATGCCTCAGCTAACCCCATCAATCCAATGGCAAATAAACCAACAGAAGACACTTTCTCCAGTGTCAACAACATGTCTCGATCACCCGCCTCAAAGGTCTTCCCTGCTAAGGTTCTGCTGATCGCATTTGTCTTCCATCTCTGTAGAAACCAAACAGAAGAGAGAATAGTGGCACTCTTCCAAGCTGGCAAAATGAAATGTGATGCAACGCTGGTCGGTGCCACCATAGCCCCACTGCATGAAAAGATTCGAAATAACTAACCACACGTTTTGCACAAATACATAACAGGGACTTAAACTGGGAAGAAAGAATATCACGGGCATATAGAGACTTTACTAACATTTGGGTAAAGGCCATAAAAGTGATGAGATACCGAACAGGGTCCTCCAGAGTACTCCAGATGCTTTTTTCATAAGGTACGGGCTTCAATATTGAGCGCTCAGATAACAAACCAGCCGGCCATTCCTTTGACATCTTATGAAACCTCCTCAGAAACCTTGGCATCACTAGCCAGGCCAGTAAAGTACAGAGCAAAGTGCCACTAACAGGAGCAACGACATGGATCAGGTACGGATTTGCATCAAGAATTTGCTGAACTTGAGGTGTTATGTCACTCGGAGCGTCTACCACCTTCTCACCTGTGGAACTCACACCATTCCCAAGACTTTGGAGGGCTTCTTTTGCCTTCAAACCCCACTCACCCATATCAGACCCACCAGTACCAACTACAGATGTGGAATACAAACGACCGCTCCATAAAGGGCCACTGCTCGGGAATAGAGAAACAGCTCTTAAAGGATAACTGTTCGACGAACCGCACACGTTTGAGCCAAAACCTACCACCCGAAAACCTCTAGCAGCGTGATTCTGGGTAGGGTTACGTGACTCGCTTGCATGGCAATAGTTACGGTTCAGACAAGCAGGTGATGGGCATCTGATACCAATGACATTCACAAGATTTAAAGATGGGCTGAGTGATCTTGTCAATCTTGAAAACTTAATTGCAGCCATTGCAATCGGGGCGTGAAGATTATACAATCAGCCCGATAGAAGACTTCACAAACCCACCAAGCTCGTTCGACTCTACACAACCAAGAAAGTTAAAGAATATATAATTCTTGACTTCCTGCAGGGAATTCCACACAGTCTGCCTAATAAGGATTACAAAACCAGAAACATAAATAAGCAAATTAACCCTAAAAAATGTGAATCTTGATGGGCGAAGATTGACGAAACAGAAAAAAGAAGAAGATAGAAGAGCCATATTGCACAAGCTAGCAAACGAATACAAAACCAGAAATTTCCCAAGTAAATTTTGCATACAAGATTGATAAACGAAAACAATGGAGTTCTGGGGTAGAAAGTAACGAACTTGGAGAGAGCAGAACATCAGCGTGCTTGATGGGCAGTGAATATGGAATATATACAGAGTATATATTAGGATGTGGTGACTTGATAAGAAAGAAAGAAAGAACGCTACACTCTTTCTGTATTTTTCGTACGCCGTATAAAAGAGAGAAGAAGTTGGGAATAATGTGAAAGAATTTTAGAATTGGAGGAATCCGTATTATTTTTCTGTCCGATTTGGACAAATTTTGGGAAGTTAGCTGCTATTCCTATTTGTTCTCCAATTTTTTGAAGGTCCTATTTTTCTTTCCAATTTGGAGAGTTTTATAATAAATTACCTTAAATAAGAGTAAAGCATATTGAAATTACCAAAATAAGAGTTTCATGTTTTTACTCCGTATTTCTTAAGTATGAATTTGCATTGTGACAATGTGATACTGTACATGTGCATATTAACTCCTATTTTGGAAATAAAAATATGAAACTCTTATTTTGATATATTTTTAATATTTTATTTCTACTTTAGTTTTTTTCTCCAAAAAATATAGTACTTGCCGTAAGAAAATCAAATTAATGCCCAATTTAGCATACCCGAGATTAGACTCACTAATTGAAATTCATGCCCACTTTAGCATCCCTGACTACCAGTCGTCAAAATAGCATTAAAACAGCATTTAAACTTGTACTTATTTTCAAACAATTTTTTTTCTAAATTAGTCAATTTTTTTATTTAAAATTTCATAAAAAAATAGTCTCCCGACTGCGCTCAAACACTGTGAATCAATTAAAAAGAAAGACTCCTACTTTGATTTTTCATATAGAGTATTAAATAAGTTTTACATCGAAAATAGACTAATTTGAAAAAACATCAAAATTATATGTGATTAATTTGGAAAATTAGTACAAGTTTGCATGTAGTTTTGACACTATTTTAACGACAGTTAGTCGAATGGACTAAACTGGACATTATTTTCAATTAGCGGGTATCATTTCGATAACTAGTCCATCTTGGTAACTAATTTGAGAAAAGAAATAGTTATTAAGTACCATTTTGAGAAAACATAGGGACGAACCGTGATAGTAGCTAATAGCCTAATACTCAGCAAAAAAAGATTAAACCCCAATCCCTAAAGCCCTCTAGTACCCACACCAAGTGTGGAGAGTTAAGTTGAATTATAATCTCAATTTAGTCAAAAAAGGGTGAGATTGTCTCAAACATGAGTTAACTCTTTGTGATAATATCCTATCGATCAGCTAAGCTACACCCTCAGACAAAATTATAGAGGATAAAATTTTTGTACTAGGTGGCCCACTATATTGCCGCACAACCACCTAAACCCAACGTTTGACTTAGACTTACAAAGAAGTAGTATACACCGCTTGTCCCTATTAGTATCACTTGACTCGACTTGGGCTAGGATTTTTTTAGAGCTAAATTCAAGCTAAATCCAAATTATTACTCTACATTCGAGTTAAATTCAAAATAATCCATTTATCCACTTGAGAGTGACTTTAAAATATATCTCTCATTGGAAAATTGGAAAATTAGAAATAACATATTTGGCTCATAAGCTCTTGAGTTGAACTGGTTAATCGATTAAATTTAATTATTTAATGTCGTTCAATTCAAGCATTTTATGAACGAGTCCAATAACCCTTACCTCATAAAAACAAATACATATCAATTTTCCCCCTCCTTTTTTCATTTTTTAAAATTTAGGTCCTATTTTATGCAGAAAATTACTTACGGATGACGCGATTTTTGTCGAAATAACTCTCAGGTTCCTCTATTTTCAAGAAGACAATTGAGGTCCTTATATTTTGTTGTAATGACAGGAGACATTTCATCCAATATTTCATCCATAAGTGCTAATAAATGTTTTTTTTTTCCTATTTTTCCATTACCGTTTTTCCTATTTTGCCATTACTCGGTTTTTTCTTTTTTAGAAAATATTTTATTTTATTTATTTTAATATAATACAAACAATTTTGAATTTTTATCCGATTTTATAGAAGAAATTCTAAAATAACACTTTAAAAAAGAGTAACAAAAAAAAAGAAAAATAAAGAAATAAAAAAAGGAGCGACCTAAGATTTATTACCTTAAAATATTTAGAAAAAAAGAAAAAAAATACATTTATTTACGTTTAAGGATGAAATATGGGTAGAATGTTCCCTCCCAGTCATTACAACAAAATCTAAGGACCTCTGTTGTCTTCTTAAAAATAGAAGGACCTGAGAGTTATTTTAACAAAACCTGCGTCACCCGTGAGTAATTTTCTGTATTTTATGTCATAAGACACGAGTACTCATATTTTGGAGACAAGGTAGATTCCTATAATTTTTTAGTCTTACCAAGGTAGATTCCTATAATTTTTTTGGGATACATCATGATTAAAACTTGTAAACCAAGAATGATGAATAAATAAATTGTTGATTGATGAATGTTAGTCTCTTCGTTTAAAATTAAATTGTCTATTTATTATTCACAGAATCAAATTTCATTCACTTTCTTTCCTTATTTTTGTTACTCATGTGATAAAAATTTATAATCATGTCACTCCTTTTTTTGTAAATCATTTGATATAGTTTTTTAATATGTAAAATTTATTTTTTTTTAGTTTCACACCAACTTTCTAATGAATTGCATTGATACTAACTTCAATCAATATCGTAAATGGAAACACACAATTTAAATTAGGACGGAGGGATAATTAGTTGATGGGCCTAAAATAGTCCAAATATTACATGATGGCACAATCATGCACGTTCTTAAGCCAAATGAATCAATTAATTCAATTAGGAGCGTAATTTGGGGGTTAGAAGTTGCTTGAACAAAGCCAACTTTGGTACATTCCAGTGCTCAACATGCCTCCATACTTTGCCCGACTCCGCGCTCAAGTAATACTCCGTATAACCACTTGCTGCGCCCAATCATATATATATATATATATATATATATATATATAATGTTAACAAGTATCCCACATAAAAAAAAGTTTAAGATAAAAGTAATAGGTATATAAATATATAAACTGAACTACGTAATTGATTAAATTCAATCTTTTAGGCTGTTTGGAAGTTGAAATTCTACGGAATTGATTTGGATGGAATTGAATTCTTCAATTCCAATTCATTATTGTCCCCAATTTCAATACTACAGTTCATGTACCAAACGAAACTTTAATGCACTTCAACTCAAATGTTTTATCAGCCAGTGCTGTGATCCAGGCCTCATACTAATTTTACTTCCTATCATATACTCTGTAATAGAGATTAGAGAGAAGTAAATTACAAATTACAATCCAGGTCCATCCATTATAAATAAATAATAAACTGTGTGAAGAAAATATAAAGAGGCAAAGAGAAACCTGAAAGTGTGGGTTTCCATGGGAAAGCCAAAACACAACTGAAACGCCAGTGCCCAATCGCCTTTTCCTGTGTGAGTTAGAGGCTTTAATGGAGCATCATCATGAGTTAGTTATATATATGCTTCTGGATATACTAAATATTCCTTCTTGAACTGATAATGGCTAGTGTTTGTTTATGTAGATGGAGTTAAGCAACATGTTTAATCACAGAAAAAACAGTACATATTAATAATACATACCTCAAAATCCTCCCACTTGACAAGTTTGAGGTTTGATTTTCGGACGAGGTACCCGAAATTGGTGCAGTTCCTCTTGAACCTGCGCAGCCCTTTGAAGGAACCCCCTGCTGGGTCTGCAAATTCACAATCCTCTTCATACACACCCATCGTCACCTTCCCTGAACTTAACACATTATTTATTAACTTCCCAATTATAATTTATATTCATTCCCCCATTTTAGGCGGAGTAAAAAAGTACGGAGTAGTATTTTATAGGGCGTGCAGAAAATTAGGGCGAAACTGTTTTCATAGAGATCATTGAAGTATATCATAGAGATCATTGAAGTTGAGATGGAGCAGAACCTGTGACAAAGTATGATCTCAAGAAGTCGTCTTTGATGGCAGCCACGACAGCGGATCGTTCAACCGCTCCGGACTCGTCACAGACCAGCTCCCTATTTCCTTCTCCGCCTTGGGTTTCCCTATCAGCCGCCGGAGATTGGAGGAGAGAAGCAGCAACTCCCAGAAGCTCAGTACCATACCAAGCCACCTTCAGCACCACATTTCCAGGCATGCCGCCGCTGCCCAAATCATTTCTTGCCTCCTTCCCCTTATTATTGTTACATCGCACCGTGCCTGCTTTTTTGCAGTATTGAAACCGTCGTCGTCGGAAAACGGGGCAATGGTTGCCCGGACGAGGGAGGTTGACGGTGGTGAAAGGAAAAGAGGAAAGTGTTGTCATCACACACACAGAGAGAGAGAGAGAGAGAAGGAAAGAGTTGAAGAAATATCTCAGTACTGAATTACTGATATGTATAGTACAAGTAACGGTAGCCACAAGTTTAATTAATACAGCCTTTTTAAGAGCACAACGAAAAGACCATTTTAGCCTTCATGTAAAGAGATACATACAAACATTATAAGTTCTTTCCATTTCAAAAAACACACAGAAAATTACAGCCTTTCTTATAGATAGGATGCTGAAGAAATCAACAAGTTTCATCATAAGCTGGTGCAGCAGGTGCTGTGTTTCATCATCATTAGCATATCATTTCAATGGCACCCGGTAATATGTGAAGCTTCATGGGTAGGAACCCCAAAACCTCCCCATCACACTGGACATAAATACTCCTGCCGCTGCTACCCGCCTCCTCAACTTCGACTGAACGAGCACTGAGGAAATCGAGACCAAAAGCTTAACAATGGAAGCACTGAGGAAATAACGGGGAACAATTAAACTTTTATAAACAGCACTCTTTCTTTCTTTCTTTCTTTTTTTAAAGTAGCAGAAAGATACCTTCTGGAATTTACATTTTTGACGGATAGGTGTGTTCCATTGTACAGCTTATGTAGTATGAGGATGAAATCATACCATTTGAAATTCTGAAAAGTAACAACCTGCGCGTGTAAAAGGATAGATATCGTTTGCGGTTCAGAGAATGAATGGTGGTCTATAGTGTTTACGATCACTCTGGCTACAAAACAACAGCTATCCCACCCACCTCAAAATTACCACTTGTTGGGCTAGCATTGGGTGTGATTTTCATTCCTCCCCCAAAGTATTTTGCATTCCCTATGCATAGAGCAGTCACTTGTGGATATACTTCCCACTCACCATCATCAACCTGCGTAAAGTTTTGCAAGCAAAATGCAGAGGAAAGATGATCATATGAGCGAACAGAAGAAGAAAAAAAATATGTTAAAAAAAATACCTTGATCCTAAGATCATGGTTGCGGTGTCCAAAAAAAGCCTGCAAGGCACCAATAACATAGCACAAGTTTCCGAATTTCTTGTACTTTGATGCATGACTACCAGCCTTTGCACTTCTACAGAGTTTCATGGAAGTGTGTTAAATTGGAAAAGAACATACCATAGAAGCATAGTTTCACAACTTCTTAGCCATACACATTTTTCCTTACAAATGAATATCAGCAATGTTGATGAAGTAATGTGGTTCTCCACTCTCTCCTCTGATAAACCCAACATCAACCCTAGATTTTCTTCCTGATGAACGCGCTGTTAGAATCGTAATAGAAACTATGAAACCCTACGTGGGAAATAAATGGTCTAAAGAAATGAGGATTGGAGATCGAGTACCTTCAACCAGGCATTCGATAGCATCATGAGGACCATTTTTCCTGATTAAGCAAACATATTGCATTATCGCAGAACTTTCAAATCAATATCTTAACCCCAAATCAGGCGCAATGCCCACACGCACTCAAAGAACAGAGTAAAAGTAGTTCCAACTGACCATCTTAATGTTCTGGCAAAGTCTGACCCAGTTCCCAACGGAATGAGCTGCACATAAAGAATAAGCACTAATTATATCGCTCCCAAAATCACACAAGATTTGTTTGTTGATTATAGTTACACACCGGCTTAATTTCACAGTAATAAGAAATATAGCTCCTAAAGCAAATGCACATTTTACTTATTAGTAGTACTATGTAATGCTCCTAACAACTCACACCGAGAGCAGTTGAGTGTGTAGAGTCCGGATCACGACTGGAAACAGGTTTACCACCACAGAAGAAGCCATTAACAACCTGCAATGGTTGTTAGATCAGCTTTAGACTGTTGTGTTTCAGTGTCGTATGTGGATAACGCAATAATGTATAAGCGTTCAGTGTGACTCGAACAAGAATAGACTCTTAATCCTTTTCAATACACTCGACCTCGTGTAGCGTTCCATCACCACCAACAGCAATCACCGCATCAGCTCCCTCACGTATAGCCTGCCAATAATTATTCTTAGCTTATTGACGCACGCTTCACATTGTCCTTCATAGCAAGAAAACTAGTTAAGTTCAATATGTGCAGATATTGAGAAGAAACATATATACCTCCCTTGTTATGTCGGTGGCATGATGGGGGCCTGACGTGAAAGACTCACATATCTGGAAACAACATATATAGAGGCAAAGTTCACATAGGTCAACCAAAACATTGCAAATAACCACGGTGAGGAAACAAAGGTAAACGTAACTACAATGTCCGCAATAGGGTAAAAGAAACACAAGGAGCATATGAAATGACACTTGGATATTTAGCTCCCATTGATGATAAACCTCTCAATATTCAACTATTTAAATTGTACAGAGTATTTACTTTTTACATGGTAACCAACAAAACAAAAAGATTTCTTTGTGACTGATTTCACCAAGGAAAACGCGATTGAATGTTAAATATGATTAACCCTACATTTTCTGCCCTTCCAAATTTAACTTCGGTTTGACCCTCTATACCCTTTTCCATAGCATTTTCTGAGTTTCAAACTGACCCTAGAACAAGAAAAGTGAGCAGAAATGCTCAGTCTTGGTCACAAACAACTCCTCCGAAGCGAGAAGTTCGAATGAAAAACTAGATCACTAGCTAGCTGAACCAGTGGAACAGTATAAAACCAGATGATGATTTAATTTAAAAAAGGAAAAACATAAAGACATTAATTAAGTAAATGGAAGTCACGTACGTTATAGTTGTTGTTAGAGAGTCTCGACCTGAGGTGAGGTAGCAGCGACTTCCATTGCTCGCCAGTCTTTCCATTAGCTCCTGCTTAATGAATCCAAATCAGCAGAAAAGAATTGAAGAAACAATTAGCACTTACGAAATCATGATGTTTTTCATCAGAAAGTTCAATTCAATTTCACAAATGAAGAAGAAAAAAACATTAAAGAAGAAGAAGAAGCAAAAGAGCATGCACCTAGGGGATTGACAACGAAGACTAGGTCGCGGCGGCGGGGGCTAGAAGGAGGTTGCTCCGCCTTGATCATCGGTGATTTCGCCGCCGCCATCGACACCAACATGTACTACTAGTAGTAGTAGTGGTGATATCCGGTGATGAATTGGTACCACCATTAATAGTAGTAGTCATCTTTTCATGTGATCATCGGCAAACTTTGATTAATTTCGTGAGACTTTTTGGAGGGCTAAGGCTATACATATATAGGCTATAGGAGTATTATTTATAGGAAATGTGAATCCTCCTCGTTAAATTCCTCACATGAAGATGATTTATCATCATCATCATCATGTCTGTCGCGGGTTGCCGTGTTGACTAAGTTAGTTAATTTCTCATCCTCAAATTCGCGCATGGTATTTAAAATCACACCTAGTTTTGGCGCACTTCCATTTCATTTCCATTCTGTTAACTCTTTCACTTCAATTAAATTATTCCATGTCCCAAAATAGATTAAATAAAAGATTGTACACGTTGTCCAATCTCGTCTGCCCACAAATCCACCATTACATCGATCAGCATCTTCGCAACATGCAATCACTGAATGTGGGCTTTCTTAATCGCCCAACACTCCGCTTCATATAGCATGGTAGTCTGACTACGGAGCGGTAGAACTTACTTTTCATTCTAGTCGAAATCTTCTTATCCCACAGAATCCCTGAAGCCAAACCTCCCCTTGGCCCAAGTTGCTCTCACATGATGCACAACATCCCCATCCAACTCACCATCTACCGGAACGGTCAAGCCAAGATACCAAAACCTGTCAGCTTGGTGGTGTCGCCAAATACGTGGGAACTCACGAGCACTGATAAATTGCAGTGACAGAGATTCCAGCAACAATTGCATCGATAGCAGGCCAATTGCGCGGCACGACAGGGTCGCAACGACAACGTGTTGAAGTAGTAGTTTTTTAGGGATGTATTTATCTTTTGTATTTTAATTTGTAATAAATTTTAATTAAATTTTTAAATAAAAGGAATATGAGTCCTATTTTAAGCAAAAAGAACATAGGATTCCATTTTGGTCTTCCTATGTTTTAATCATATTTTCATTTTTTCCCAAAAAGGTTAGCAGAATGCTAGAATAGTAAAGACTATAATCTATTTTGGGACTGGGAGTACATTCAATTCAATATAAAAAACAATACTAGAAGAAATTTACTAAAAGATGAAAAATACATCTATCGTATGTCAAAATGTCAAAATTGTACCCCTAGCATTACTCTTTTGGCAAAACAACATCAAGTTTCATCATAAGCTGGCGCAGCATGGGCTGACTGCTGTGTTCATCATCATTAGCATATCATTTCAATGGCACCCGGTAATATGTGAAGCTTCCTGGGGAGGAACCCCAAAAACTCTCCATCAGACTGAACATAGATACTCCTGCCGCTGCTACCCACCTCCTCAACTTCGATTGAACGAGCACTGAAGAAATCGAGACCAAAAGCTTAATAATGGAAGACTGAAATAATGGGGAACCACTTTTATAAACATCACTCTTTCGTTTTTTTGTGGCAGAAAGATACCTTCTTGAATTTACATTTTTGACGGAGAGATGTGTTCCATTGTACAGCTTATGTAGATTGAGGATGAAATCATACCACTTGAAATTCTGAAGAGTAACAACCTGTGTGCAACAAAGGATGTAGTTTTCAGTTAAGAGAATGAATGCCCTATGTGGGTAGTGGCCTGTTCACAATCACTTTGGCTACAAAACAACAGCTATCCCACACCTCGAAGTTACCACTTGTTGGGTTAGCATTGGGTGTGATTTTCATTCCCCCGCCAAAGTATTTTGCATTCCCTATGCATAGAGCAGTCACTTGTGGATATACTTCCCACTCACCATCATCAACCTGCGTAAAGTTTTACCCTTCTCGATAAGTAAAGAAAGGTATGACCCTCGTGAAGGGTTTTCTTCTTTGTACGGAGTAAATAGAACTTTGAAGCATTTGCAAGGGAAATGAAGAGGAAAGATAATAATCATATAAGCAAACACAAGAAAAAATTATGTTTAAAAAAACCTTGATCCTAAGATCCTGGTTGTGGTGTCCAAAAAAAGCCTGCAAAGCACCAATAACATAGCACAAATTTCCGAATTTCTTGTACTTTGATGCATGATAACCAGCCTTTGCACTTCTGCAGAGTTTCATGGAAGTTTGAGAGTGTGTTAAATGGCAAAGCACGCCCAGTAGAAGCATACTTTTACTACTTAATCACACAATTTTCCTTACAAATGTATATCAGCAACATTGATGAAGTAATGTGGTTCTCCACTCTCTCCGCTTATAGATCCAATGTCAACCCTAGACTTTGTCCCTAAAGAGCGCCGCTGTTAGAATGGTTCTAGGAACGATGAAGTCCAACGTGGGAAACAAATGGTCTAGAGAAATGAGGATTGGAGAGTACCTACAAGGATGCGCTCGATAGCATCATGAGGATCATTTTTCCTGATTAAACAAACATGCATGAAAGTAGATATTTCAAATCAATACCTTAATCCCAAATCAAGCAGAATGCCCACACGCACTCAAATAACAGAGTAAAAGTAGTTCCAACTGACCATCCTAATGTTTTGGCAAAGTCTGATCCAGTTCCTAAAGGAATGAGCTGCAGATAAGAAATAATCACTGAAATCTCTCACTAAACTATACAAGCTTTGCTTATTGACTATTGTAACATGCCGGCTTAATTTCACAGTAGTTAGTAATATAGCTCCTAAAGCAAATACATATTTTACTTAGTAGTATTATATATTGCTCCTAGTAACTCACACCGAGAGCAGTTGAGTGTGTAGACTCTGGATCATGACTGGAAACAGGTTTACCACCACAGAAGAAGCCATTAACAACCTGCAATGGTTCAATTAGCTTTAGACTGTGGTATTTCACTGTCGTATGTGAAAAACGTAATGATCTTTAAGTGTGTAAATCAAACAAGAATAAACTCTTAATCCTTCCATACACTCCACCTCGTGTAGTGTTCCATCACCACCAACAGCTATCACCGCATCAGCTCCCTCATGTATGGCCTGTCAATATTTTTTTATATAGACACTTCACAATATCCTACAACTCTTTCCGACTGAATGTATTCGTCCAGCATTCCATTGTGGGTTGTCCCAATGTATTTGCCCACTTTCCATTAAAGGTTGTGTAATTATTGTCACATTGACTCTTTTTACCTCAACTTAACACCACTTTTAGAGGCCCCTTCATAAAGCAAGAGCAATAATGTGATATAGTCACTTTCATCTTTTACTCACTTTTTCTTGGTCCATGTGGTGTAGATAAAGTGGACAAACACATCGGGACAGAGGGAGTAATAACTACTTAAGCTCAATATTTAGGTATCGAGAAACTTACCTCCCTTGTTATGTCAATGGCATGATGGGGGCCTGATGTCAAAGACTCGCATATCTAGAAACCACATAGAGGCAAAGTTCATCCGATAAATGTAAATAACCATGGTGAGGAAACAAAGGTAAAAGTAACTACAATGTCCCCAATAGGGTAAAAGAAACACAATAAGCATATGAAATGAGACTTGGATTCAGCTCCCAAGTCCCAGAGATGATAAAAAAACTCAATCGAAACAACTTTTTAAATTATATGGGGTATTGAACTATTGACTGGCACTAGATGAGTTCATTCCATAAAAACTTAAAAACTTTCCTATGACCATTTGTAGTTTACTCAACAGCCTTTGATAAAAGTTCAAACTTTAACAGAGAGCATGCTCTTTAGTTTTATGTGTACTCATTACCTATCATTTTTTGTGCAGGTTGAGCCGGGGGTCTCTTGGAAACAGCCTCCCTGCTTCCAAGTAGGGGCAAGGTCTGCGTACACACACCCTCCCCAGACCCTACTGTAGTGGGATCCAACTGGGTTGTTGTTGTTGTTGTTGTCATTACCTATGGCTAGATTTGGCACTCGGAAAATGGTACCCAAAATTAAAAATTGATCTTTGGGGATTGATTTCATTTTCTTACCAAGGAAAACAAGATAGAATGTTTGATATGATTAAACCCTTTAAACATTTAACATTGACTTTTTCAGCCTCCATTTTCCTTCTTTCCAAATTCGGCTTAAATTTTACCCCCCTAAATCCTTTCCTTATCATGCTCTGAGTTCCAAACTGACCCTAGAAGAGTAAGCAGAAATGCTCAGTCTTGGTCAGAAACAGCTCTATGAAAGCAGCAATATGGATAAAAACTTAGAACACTAGCTCAACCATTATACCCGGACAACAGTACAAAATCAGATGAAATATTGAAAAGGGAAACATAATGGAACTAACGTACGTTATAGTTGTTGTTAGAGAGTCTCGACCTAAGGTGAGGTAGCAGCGACTTCCATTGCTCGCCAGTCTTTCCATTAGCTCCTGCTTAATAAATCCAAATCAGCAGAAAAGAACTGAAGAAACAATTAGCACTTACGAAATCATGATGCTTTTCATCAGAAAGTTCAATTCAATTCACAAATGAAGGGGGAAAAAAAGCAGCTCACCTCGAGGATTGACAACGAAGACGAGGTCGCGGCGGCGGCGATGAGATTCAGAGGCACCGGGAATAGTGAGGCCGGAAGGGAGATCTGGAGGGAGAGGTAGCTCCGCTTTGATCATCGGAGGTTTCGCCATCATCACTACAAGTGCTATCCGGTGATGAAGGACCATTACCCGCCTCGCAATCCACACAGCTTTTCATGTGTTTTTTCACTTTGTCGGCTCTACACAATAATCTGTATAAATTCAGTCGGGATTACTCCCTCTATCCAACTTAGAATTTGCTTTTTGAATGGGATTGATTAGAGATTTACATTTTCTCTAATCCAATTAGATAGGGATTTTACATTTTCTAGTTTTGCTTGTCATTCTTAATTTTTCTCCTTCACTTTTTTTTAGTCTTATTGAATGGAGTAACACCCTCAAATTATTGATATGGGAACATGAATTTGGATTTCAAATCCAGATTTGACCCAAATTTCATGTTTGAAAAACTTAGGCCCTGTTTGGTACATGAAATTCAATCTATGGAATTGGAATTGAGGACTTCAATAGCATAAAAATTATCTGGATTTAGAATTGATAGTGTAAAAAATGAATTAGAATTGGCAAAATTCAATTCTATGGAATTGAATCCCATGGAATCTCAATTCCAATTCCGTCAATTCCGTATACCAGAATCAAATTCTTCTCATTCATAACAAAACTTAATTTTAAATCCATGCGTCTCTCCTTATCATTTGAAATTCAAAATTTCAAATTTTGGAATTGAAATACATGAATTGAAATGAAATCATAGTTGCCAAACATTACCTTAAGTCACCGTATAATATTAGATTAGTTCTTTAAAAGCATTCTCATATCTATAATGCATAAGAAGCTATCACATTGAATAAAACATTTAAATTGTCGTAATCAAGAAATGATTCAAACTTAAGACTTCTTACTTAATATTCTTCCTTCAATATCATTTGAGTTACACATGACTACCTGACTGCAAATATTTGAAGTGTAAAGTTTTTACACTAGTTGGCCATTTCATACCACAAGCACTTTTTATTTTTTGGTCACATAAAAGCTAACGAGATCTCTATTTAAACATAATAAAATCTTCTCGAGAAAATATACGGAGTAGTTAATTATTTATGGGTAGTAGCTACTTCGTAAAATTTGTGATACACTCCAAAGATTTTTGTAGAATCAAAATGTCTTCTAAGCTATTGGTGGAGTAACTTTAAAAAAGGGAAAAATTATCGTAATTAATCCCACCGTTTTAATTTTTTCCAAAAAATGATCTCAATGTCACCAAAAATAGTCTTACATTTCTGCATGTGTGCGAGTTTCAGGCCGTTGCAAAGAAGCTAACGACCACTTAACAAAATTTTAGAAAATGTCTATTTTTCGCAAATAAATGAAGGGTGAGATTATTTTAGGTAAATTTACTTTTTTTTCTTTTTTAAATTTTAAACTTTAAATTGATTTTTTTAAAAATATAACAATACACTCTTGTTAGATTTTATTCTCAATTTTTTTATAAAATATAACGATTTACAAATTTTATATTCTATTGGAGAAATATATAATTTTGAATTATCGAAAAATAATTCATAGTATCGCTTGAGAAAGAAATTCCAATACAAAAAACTTGTAGTGAGTCATAAAAATAATTAGTGTCATTTGGGGAAAAAATATTTTGTCATTTTCATAACTTTTGAATTGTGATTTGGGTAAAAAAATTATACTGAATTATCGAAAAAGTCACAAGTTTTGTAGTGCTATATTTAGAAAAAGTAATGCGGGTAGTATAAGGTTATCGTTAAACATTTTGGAATGTTGTTAATGAAAAAAGTTGCAATACAACAAAAAATGTAGTGAATTATAAAAATAAAAGTTCTATATCAAAGTAAAATTAGCGTTAATTTCACAACTGTTGTAATGTTGTTTCAAAAAAATTATACAGAATTATCCAAAAATATTCACATGTTTTGTGGTGTCATTTTCAAAAATTAGCACTCATTTGACTAAAATTATTTTCAATTCAATTTATTTGAACATAGGTGTAGAATTAAAAAATAAAAATTATATGTTTTAAAACTACATCAATAGTTCTACAAAACAAGAGGCAACATGTCTATATTATTTTATCAAATACAGAGTAACTAACAAAAATAGGTAAACAAAATAATTAAAGTTTGACCATATGAATAGTGACTTAGATGATCATTTTAAGATGAACAAGGTAGTAGCATATCATCAAAAAAATAATTCGAAATGCCGCTCAAGAAAATAATTTCAACTTACAAAAAATACAGTGAGTTATAAACTAAATAAATTAGTTCCATTGTGTAGAATAATTTATTGTACAATTTCATAACTTTTGAAATATTATTTTAGAAAAAAATAATTATTGCCAAATTATTCATTATTGAAAAAATAATTAGTTTCACTCTAAGAAAATACTTAAATTTGGTATTATTTATAAAAACATTTGTTCAAAATACATTTAAATTTAAAGTGAGAAATTAAAAAACGAAAGAAAAGAAAATTTACCTAAAATAATATCACATTTCATTTATTCGTGAAAAGCAAATATTTTGTATAAAAAAAATCGGTTAACTAACCGTTAGAATCCTAACTGCAACCCAAAACTCGCTCACATGAGGAAAGATGAGTTTATTTTCCGTGACAATGAAAAATGAAATTATTTTTATAACTCGAAAACATGGGATTATTTGAGATAAATATCCCTTAAAAAATACAATAAACAGAGCTTATATTCTCAATATAAGGTCTATGTTGATTGATTACATTTAGTTAACAATTCAGCAGAATTACTGCATCAGTGGAATACAGTGAAATCTCAAACTTCAACATCACAAGTACTGTCAGAGCATCAAATGATTTTACTTTCCCCTCAAACAAAGAAAACAACAACTTATAGTCTTATTATTATTATTCAATCGCATTGTATATTTCAAGAAAATGAAGAAACCTCCACTTCTGAAACACTACAACACTGGAGTGTTAAATACTTTGACAGTTGGCATTCGTTTCTCATTCATTCGGAGTTGCATCATCCGAAGATGGCGGGTTGCTTCCATCTACACATGATAAAGAACAACGAAAGATGAGGCAGTGGACTTTACAAATGAAGAAGGGGGGGGAAGTGAACTACGCAACAATTTGATAGTGAAGAGTAACAATGGCAAAGACATGGTTGTTCTGCCAGAAGTGTGGCTGAACATGGTATGGTCCTTTGCCATTGTGACACTGACACGTTTAATGGTATGTACCTTCACCTCCTGCTGGGGCACAAGGGGATTTCCGATATCGTGTTTGCTGCTGTGTTGGCTACAACACAAAAGTCAAGAAACTAAAATAAAACTTCGCAATAAAGAAAGTCATATGAAGCTGATGAAAAGAAAATGTTGAAGAGACGAGAGCAGTGTGTGTGAGGGCAAGTATGCAAAGGCTGGGTTGAGGAAATGTCTAGATGCAAAAATGTTGTAAACAACTCCGTACAATTTGTTTGTTTGTTACGTAACCCTTTCTTTCAAGAAAATGGCAAAAATGAATCTGATCACCCAAAAACAAGGGAAGTTCAAACCAAACTCTAATATTTTTGGGTTCAATCGAACTTACCCTCTTCAATCCTAACTCATCCACCAATTTAACCGACTATGTAGTATCTCCCCCCCCCCCCATGCACATATTTGATGGAGAAATATTTTTTAGAAAAGAATACAGAGTCCATATTAGAAATAGCACTTAAGGGAAGTACTTACTGAAAAGTTATACTCCCTCTGTCCCATAAGAGTTTTGTTTATTGTATGTACAGCTTTAATTTTAATAAGGTACACCCATTTGCAAAAATAATCAAATACAGCTATTTTAAAATTTTATTGGTTGACTTTACTAAATTTAACACACTCAACTTGTTTGGGATTAAAAATAAAATCAAATTTAACACACTCAACTTGTTTAGGCGTCCCAAAATTATTTTTTCAGTTTTTCTTTAATGGGACATGAATATTAAGCAAACAAGCTGTAAAGTAATATGTTACCTGCAACTTTGGTCGAAGTGCTTCCAATGGACCTTTGGGCTTCCCTGCACCTTGCTATGAACATATATCTAAATGTTAGCTACTGTAATAGGGAATTGCATTACTTTCAGGTAACAACAATTAAATGGAAAGCAGTGACAATACTACCTTTCCAAGAGCCCAATCAGCAGAATCAAAATATGCACGTTCATGGTCCTGACAATAACACATAGCTATGCATAAGAAATAAAATTGGGAACATACAGCCCCTCATGCTCTTGGTATGTAAACCAACACCATTTGTAAAAAAACAAATTTGTGACATAGTTACTTAAAAACTACCTTTGAAATCAACGGTGGTTTCTTGGGCACTATTCCTCCATACTTTTTCTTAATAACAGCTTCTTCCTATAGACAATCAAGGAGGAAAGTGCAAGTCAAAACATGAGTGATACATGAACTATGCTGCATACATTTAAATGCTTGGTGAGAACACAACTTCCTGCGGCGCTGATGCCGTGGGGTTTTCTGTGCTAACAGCTTCATCTGAATGCTCTTTGACCTCCTCCGTGCCTGACATTGTTTCACCTAGCTAGTAATCAATATCTGCAGCAATGTACAACTTATTTACATCTGCTTTAATCACTAGCTCATACTTGCCAATAACAACAAAAACACGGATCACTGGTTGGAGCAAATGTATCTTAGGAAGTCGCAAAGGAAAATATCTTTTATCATCTGACACAAGTTTCTATTTCATTTCTAAGACCATCTCCAACCCATATCGCCATTTTTTACACCAAAAAAATGTAATTATCACACCAAATAATATTGGTGTGACAAAAACAAACATTATCTCATACTCCATATTTTTATCTCCCCTTAATCCCCTGAAGCATTTTAATATTTTAAAAAAATCAAAGATCAAAATAGCGCAATGACTATTATACACCAATACTGGTATTGTAATTCTCTTTTTGCAATAAGATAGGGAAATGGCGATCAAAACCGTAAAAGGTCTAATATGGATGATAATTTATGTAGCCGTGTTTTATAAATGGATGAATGTGTCTCAAGTATAGAATTCATATCATTTGCCTATGTTACTGTGATGTAAACTAGTTTGATCTTTAAATATTTTTGCAAGAGGTGCAATATGTAGTAAACAATGTTTGTGCTTGTTTTCTGCTGTTGTATATTAGCCAAAACAATTGGTATTGTGT